ACTCATACTGGAGGATAATTTGAAGTTAATAGGAAGAGGGGTAGAAATTGGCTTACAATCTTGCATGCTAAATCGTGACAAGATTTTCTTCAAGTAATTCTTTTGTGAAAGCCAAATCTTCCTATTACTTCTGTCTCGGTGAATTTGCATCCCTAGAATCTTGTTTGCTGATCCCAAGTCCTTCATTTCAAATTCCCTAGCCAGTAGTGCCTTCAATTCTTCAATATGATCTTTGTTGGGTCCTGCAACCAACATGTCATCCACATACAACAGCAATATAACAAAATCGTTATCACCAGACATCTTGAAATAAGCACAAGGGTCTGCATTAAGTCTGTTGTATCCAAGGCACATAATGAAGGAATCAAATCTCTTATACCAACACCTCGGCGCCTGCTTTAGACCGTACAGAGATTTGTTCAACCTGCAAACCAAGTTCTTCTTTTCTTTTTCTTCAAAACCTTCAGGTTGGAGCATATAAATCTCTTCTTCAAGATTTCCATGAAGAAAAGATGTTTTAACATCTAGTTGTTCCAAATGTAAATTCAATGTAGCACACATTGCCAAGACTACTCGAACTGTTGTTAGTCGAACCACAGGAGAAAAAATTTAATTGAAATCAATACATTCTTTCTGAGCATATCCTTTGACCACCAGTCTTGCACGATACCTCTCCACTTGATCGTCACCATTTCGCTTGATTTTGAAAACCCATTTGTTACCAATTGGCTTCCTTCCTTGTGGTAGTGGCACAAGGTCCCATGTATTATTTTTATGAAGGGCTTCGATTTCTTCTTGCATCGCCATCATCCAGAGTGAAGCATCTGAGCTGTTTATTGCCTCCTGGTATGTTGATGGCTCATCGTTCTCTGTTAAAAGGCAGTATGCAATATTACCTTCTATAACATAATCTGAGTGCCAATTGGGACGTCTTCTCACACGATCTGATTGACGAGTTGTTGGAGCTTCAGAACTCTCTGGTTCTTGTTCATCATGTGATGGTTCTGCTTCAGAAGAATCTTCTTCTTCAAACTCTTTTTCCACATGTATCTGAGTAGTCTCTGACTTTTCAGCGCTATCATCGTCTTTTTTTCTTTGTAGTTTATCTTCTACAAAGATAACATCCCTGCTAATGATCACTTTACGGGCAGTGGGATCCCACAAGCGATACCCCTTTACTCCATCAGCATACCCCAAGAATTTGCATTTCCTGGATTTTGGATCCAGCTTTGAAATTTCTTGGGCGTTGTACATCACGTACACAATACTTCCAAATACATGGAGGTTTGAATAATCAACTGGTTTACCAGTCCACATCTCCATTGGTGTCTTCAGCTCTATTGCAGTTGATGGAGCTCGATTCACCAAATAACAGACGGTATTGACTGCTTCTGCCCAGAATGATTTTTCTAGGCCTGTGTCCCTCAACATTGCTCTTGTTCTTTCTAACAAGGTTCTGTTCATCCGCTTTGCCACTCCATTTTGTTGAGGAGTGTTCGCCATTGTGAACTGTCTTTTGATGCCTTCTTTCTTGCAAAAGTCATCAAATTCTTCGCTTGTGTATTCTCCTCCATTATCTGTTCTGAAACACTTGATCTTATTTCCAGAATCAAGTTCCACCCGCGCTTTGAAGTTTTTGAAAGTTGAAAACACGTCTGACTTCTTCTTAATAGGGTGCACCCAACATCTCCTGGAGTAGTCATCAATAAATGAGACAAAGTATTTTGCTCCACCTAGGGATGTTACTGGTGCTTGCCATACGTCAGAGTGAACCAATTCTAGAACACTTTTGCCTCTAGAATTTGATGTGTTGAATTTCAACCGGTGCTGCTTACTTGTTATGCAATGCTCACACAAAGTAGGTGATACCTTTATTAAGTCTGGAAGTAGCTTTTGCTCCACAAGGACTTTCATTCCTTGTTCTGACATGTGTCCAAGTTTCTTATGCCATAGCATTGCATAATCTGAACTACATGAGGCAACAGAGGCTTCTGCTTCTAAAAATGTCTTTCCCTTCAGCATGTACAAGTTTGCAGCTATCTTTTCACCTTTCAACACCACAAGCGCTCCACGGAACACATTCATGATTCCTTTCCGTGTTTCAATCTTGCTAGCATTATTATCCAACAATCCGTAGGATAATAAATTTTTCTTCAGACCTTTCACGTGCCGCACATCTCGAACAACTTTAATTGTTCCATCATACATCTTCAATTTGATGGTTCCCACACCAACGATCTCTAAGGCATGATCATTGCAACTATACACAGATCCTCCTGAGACATGTTCATAATGATGGAACCATTCTCTTCTTGAGGTCATGTGATATGTCGCTCCCGAATCAATGAGCCATATATCTGTAAATCTTTTTCTGCCTTCCACGGTGGTTGACGCTTCACAGCATAGAGCATTTCCATCATCTGAAGTGTTTGCGGTATTGCCTTGTGGATTGGAGTTTTTATTTAGACTCCAACAATCCTTCTTTCCACAGTGGTATCACTTTAAATTCTTCTTGCTCCTCGACTTCGATCTACCATGTTTATGACTGCTGCTTTGGCCACGTTCTGTTGATCTCCCTCTCATCGTTGTCAACGCTTCTGCTTGTTGCAGATTTACTTGTCTGTCTTCCTTGTTCTTGCGCCGATTTTCTTCTTGTAGAACAGCAGCTGCAACGTCATCGAAGACTAGACTGGTGACATTACTGTTTGTCAAGTTGATGATGAGATGATCGTACGAATCCGGTAGACTTTGAAGTAGAAGTTCAACACGTTCTTGTTCTCCTATTTTACAGCTTAAGGATGTAAGCTGAGAAAATAAGGTGTTCAGTGTATTTTAGTGCTCCGTCACTGAAGTAGATTCTGGCATACGGAGAGTGTACAATTTCCTCTTAAGGAAAATTTTATTGTGCAGCGATGTGACCTCGTACAATTTGATGAGATGATCCCATATCTCCTTAGCTGTCTTCTTCGCCTCGATGCTTGACAATACTTCATCTGCTAATGCTAGATGAAAGTTTGCCATAGCATTCCCGTCCATCTCGTTCCATTTGATGTCATCTGCGAAATCCACCGGCCTTTCATTGATAGCCGCTAGACACCCGTCTTTCCTTAGGATGGCCTTCATCTTTCAATTTCCACAATGAGAAATTTCTCTCATTGAATTTTTCAATATCAAATTTCGTTGCCATAGCTTCTTCTACGGATAGCTCCCACTATTTCACTATCGTGAATAGTTCTCTAGAACCTTCAAAGAATGGGTAATAACTTTTTATTTTCTTATGTTGGAGGATCCACCTTTTTGGTGGTAACCACAAAAACAATAAGCAGATATTACACACTCTAATCTAGCTCTGATACCAATTGTTGCGGAAGACGGCTATCGGATAGAGTAAAATCGCAATTGATAAATTGAGAAAATAAAAATGAAGATAAAAAGAGACACAAAATTTACGTGGAAAACCCCTAAATAAAATAGGGTAAAAACCACGGGCAACGGTAGTAGAATTTCACTATGAGAAAATAGGAATTACAACCTCTCTCGATCTACCAAGGAGAAAACAATGATAATTTTCTCTCGATAAAAAGGAAAAAACAACTCTCAAGAAATTCTCTAAATTCTCTCTAGTATTGGAAGAAAGCTAGAATGCTTTGGGATGATTTTGAAGCTAAATGAGCTAGGGTATTTATAGTTGAAGTTTTAAGGACTAATTTGTAAATACCCTAAATTACAATGACTAATTGCATAGTTTTACCATCCAAAATTTTCAACAATTTGGTGGCCAAATTTGACCAATTTTGCCACCCCATTAATGCCACCAAATTGCCACCCATAATATTGACAATTGATGCAATTTGGTGTGCCAATTTTCAACAATTTATTTTTGTCGTAACTTACTACTTTTCTTTAGATATAATACGAAAGGTTTTTCCCAAAAAAAAATATGTATATTAGATTATGTGTTTAAATATATAAGCATATTGTCAAACACTACTATTTAGCATTGTTTAGGAATTAATAATCCAATGGACGAAATAATAAATTAAACAAGTTGATGCATGGGGTACATAAGCTCCCATTCAAACAATCTGAGGCAACAGCAACAACCACTCCATCGGTTTTTTCTCAATTGTTTTGTGTCTAAAAAAGAATCTTTTAGTGTTTAATTATGTCTCACCCAAACACAATTTGACACTACGATGGTAGGTAAAAGGTTGTATTTGCAAATCGTTATAAAATAATACGTTTGTGATGAGGTTAGGTTTTTATTTTCATCGTTGTTATGGTCAGAATCAAATGTTTGGAGTTATTTCACGTTATATAAAATTATTTTAATAATAAAATCATCGAAATATAAGATTATTAATATATTATCGAACATGATATACTATTTAATTTAATTTATTTGATTTAAATATAAGGTTTAAATGCTTAATAAACTTTTAAAATAACAGTTTTTTTACGTAATGTAAAGTTTAATTTTTTTTTAACATTACATGAACAAGACGTGTGTCATTTAACGGACTTTTTTAACGTTCATTATAGTCGAGACACTTAAAATGATAACATATATAACGTTACGCGCTTGGATTGATCGAAGAAAAATTTAATCACTTTAACGAAAAAAATAATATAGTTTGAACACTTTTTTTGTATTAAACCTAAAAAATAATATAAATTTTTATATGTAAGGAACATATAATATCGACTTTAAAAATGAAAATTTCGTAGATAAATGAGAAAAAGAAGACTAATATGAACAACATTATATGTCTCAACAAACTAGAAGAAGGTCTATCTCAACAAGAATATAAAAAACTCCACATATCACGTGACCTTGCAATCGACAATTCAATATTTAACCTAATAAAGATAATCAATAAATCTGACCCACTCTCCCAAATCATCCGCAATTTTTAATGTTCACAGTTCAATTTATTATTGAACCTGTAATGTCCTTGCCCTTCCCTTTTTATTGCAAACTTTCTCCCTTACAGTTTATGCCCTTCTTTCCCTTCCAGCTTTACATATGTAATAGTTTTACAGAGAGATTTGTTCAGAATTTGTTGGTGCTAAAGGAAAAACAAAATGACAACAATCTCTTCCTGTACTTTCATGGGCGTTGCGCTCATCTTTGCTCTTGTTTTTGCTATTATGGCTCCCAGTGTTCCGGCTCGGTCTGCATCTCCAGCACCTTCTCCCACTAGTGATGGTAATTTCCTTTCTGTATTGATCCCAATAAAAAAAGTTATCTTTTTTGGTCTGTAGTAATAACTGAAACTGTCTTCCCCATTGTTGTATTCTTATGGAGGATTTGTCAAAAGCTGGTCTTTGTTTCTTATTTCAATCGTCATTCTTTCGTGCAGGAACTTCAATTGACCAAGGGATTGCTTACGTGCTGATGCTGTTGGCACTTGTGCTCACATACCTCATCCACCCATTAGATGCAACTTTCTTTTAGATCATTCTTTACAGCAATTGAGAGATTTGGTTTAGGTCAGGGTTGTAAAACAAATTGCCATGTTAATAAATGTATTAAGTTGTTTCCTTTTTAGCTGCCATGAATCTTTGTCTTCCACTCATCATCTTTGTGTCTGCAATGTGAAGCGTAGTGCTTTGGGAACTTGGAACAAAAACAATCCCACAAATTCAGCACGACACGAGGATCAAGTTCAGTAAACAGTTCCTTTATCCCTCCATCCATCATTGTTTGAAATCACAGATTAGAAGAATGAACTAAAGTGAATATTCTTCCATTAAGAGACATTCTTTGTATTGAACTTTTGTTATTCACACTACAAGATCTGCTATTAGGCACTTCACAACGACTTCAACAAAGCAAGATCTTCGATCACTTGCTCGCCCTCTGCCAGTCTTATACTGCTTATTGTTCTGAATATATTCTTTAACAACTAGTTGGATATCTATTGCTGATTTGCTAGAAAGTGGAGAACTCTATATGCGGTGCGGGAGGATCTTCCGGAAGGCTTGAAAGGAACTAGTCCGGAGGACACTTGACCGAAAGATATGTTTAGTTGTATGTTAACTCGGAGGTATAAAATAATTCACTTCAGAATTGAACTCATATCACGATTTGTTGAAGCTTGTATAAGCAGTTTTGTTAAGACAACTTTGTCTTCTCATCGGTACTTGAGAACATAGGAAGTCTATCTCCCAAGATACAAGAACAATCGTACACTGCCAACAACAACATTCCGATAAGCAAATCGAACTCGACATTGTCTTTTTCTATTACTAGAAAAGAAAAAAAAAATCAAACTCAACAATCTTGCATGGATATGCCATCCAAAGTATAAATACAGCTAAAAACGCTTTCCAAGTACATATACACGATCCTTGAATGGACTAAATATAGTTATTTAGCCACCCAAATAAGCTACTTAAAAAAATTCTGAAGAAATTGAGTTTAAAGTTCATCTTATATTAATGATGAATGTAGTAATCATCCTCTGCCACAGGAAACATCCAGAGGCATCTTTGAGATAGTTAATACACTGTCTAATTTTTCTGCTTCTTTTTCTTTCGAATACATAACTGAAACAATCAATTTCCTTTGTGAATTTCTACAAGATTGTTGCTTGGGATGATAAAATTGAACTGTATATGAAAGCATGGCTGAAATAAGAATCAATTTCACTGCAATTCCAACAGCATTTTGCCACTTACGGGGGTTGAATAAAACTCTAAGCCAGCAAAAGAGAAAACCAGAAAGCCCTCTCCTCGTGTTTCGACCTTCATTTTTCTTCACAGTTCCTTCCACATCGCTGTCTATTGAAGTTTTGTCATCAACGTTGGCAAAACAAGCATTCAACTCTTTCACCACATCCAGGGGTCTTCCTTTGTATTGTGTTACTTGCTTTGTAAGAAACAATCTGCTTTGCTCCAATCGACAGAGCACCGAATGCTTATCTCTCAGCTGCCAAGCCTGCAATTTCTGCACGTAAATATGAACATTAAATATGATGGGGGAAATAAAAGAGAAGAGAGAAAGTAAAGAAACCTTGAAATGGAAAAGGGTGTTCTCAACATCTTTCAACGAATCTCTGATGGGAATCAAACTCTTCCTTTCCTCATATGGGGTCTGCCCAATATCACAAAAGCGACCGTGGTCTGAACAATGCCTGCAGAAGCTGATACTGTTGTCGATTTCATTGTTCAACCTGTCGTGCAAAGCCCACGCCCTCTCGATGAGAGTCTGCAGTTTATCGTGATTCAGCTCCATTGGTGGAAGAAAAGAAAAACACCCCCATAATTCAGAACACTCCTGTTCCTCTTAACTTTTTAAAGTCCCATCATTTGGACTTTATTCTGTCATTTTTGTTTCTTTTTAAAAATTACTGTTTTCTTTCTTTTTTTTGTTTTCTCTTGCTGTGGTGGAAGAAAAAGGAAGCTTGAGGAAGAATTGGGAATGGAAGGTCGGCCTCTACTTTTTAATGGTGTTTTCGTAATCAGGTATTCGGACAAAATCATTGTGGCCTCTTTCACTTTGTGTTTGTGTGGGTGGGTATGTTTGCTTTAAAGGCAAGTTTTGGCTGGAAATGGAACTCCGAAGCTTTGTTGTTCCGTACCCCACAATCTCATTAGATGCGATCATGTACATATGGCCTTGCATTGCGAGCCATACATACGTTTCCATGGATATGAAAGTGGTCATGTTAGATTCTCCATGTACCATGTCATTGAAGGCAAAAGCAAAATGGAAATTGAAAATATTAGATAAGAAATAACATTAGAAGTGATTATGGAGTGAGTCGATTACCCTTAGGGTGTGTTTGGTTGGGGGAATGTGAGATTCCCATGAAAATGGAATCTATATTCCCCCGTTTAGTTGGCCGGGAATGTCATTCCTAGTAATCTTACATTACCAATAGTGGATTTTTTGAGATATATTATCGGGAATGTCATTACCTCCCTTTCCTTATGTATTGTTGGATTACCGACGTTTTGGACTAAAATACCCTTAAAAAAATTTCTTTCAAAAATATCATTATTCTGTCATTGAATAATAAAAATTCTACGAATGTTAAATTACAAATTTATCCTTAAACTATTTTAGATTTACAAAAAAAACCTATAATTAAAATTTTATATGAAGTTCAGGGGTTAAAATAAAATTTTACCCTTTCATTAAACCTTTTTATATTTTTAATTTTGTAAAAAATATATATATAAATTTTATGAATTTAATTTTTTTAAAGAAAATATATAAATATTTTTCAACTTGTTAAAAAAACAAATATATAATAAGGACAATTTGGTTAAATATACATTCTAATAATATTTTATTCCTTTAACCAAACACGATAATCTTACATTCCTGCTAAATCAACTAAACACAAAATAGAACATTCTCAGTAATCCTATTCCCTGGTAATCTTACATTCCCACTGGTAATCTTACATTCCGTGAAGCAAACGCACCCTTAGGGGGTGTTTGGATCAAGGAATGTGAGATTCTCATAGGAATGAAATCCACATTCACATGTTTGGTTAGTCGAGAATCTCAATTCCAGTAATTTTTTATTACCAATAGTAGATTTTTTTTGTATATTACCGGGAATGTCATTACCTCCCTTTCCTTAGGTATTGTTGGATTACCGACGTTTTGGACTAAAATGTCCTTAATTTTTTTTTTCAAAAATATCATTATTCTGTCATTAAATAATAAAAATTCTACGAAAGTTAAATTACAAATTTATCTTTAAACTATTTTAGATTTACAAAAAAAAATCTATAATTAAAATTTTATATAAAGTTCAAGGGTTAAAATAAAATTTTACTCTTTCATTAAACCTTTTTATATTTTCAATTTTGTTCAAAATATATAAATTTTATGAATTTAAATTTTTTAAAGAAAATATATAAATATTTTCTAACTTGTTAAAAAATAAATATATAATAAGGACAATTTGGTCAAATATACATTTCAATAATCTTTTATTCCTTTAACCAAACACGATAATCTTACATTCTTGTTAAACCAAACAAACACAAAATACAACATTCCAGTAATCTTATTCTCTGGTAATCATACAATCTCACTAGTAATCTTATATTCTGTGAACCAAACACACCCTTAATAACATGCCATCATCTCCCATCATACACTATGGTAAACTAGTTCTGTTAAAATCAAATATTGGTGATACAAGTGAGCTCCGGTGGTTCATTAAGTTAGCGCATGATAATGATGGGGCAGGGTTAGTTGGGCTACTAATGCTTAAACGTGGTTAGCAGAAAAGCCATATTTTTAACCAAGTCAAACAACGTAATAAGCTCTATCCACCTCAATTTCTTTATTTTTAAAGTTTGTGCCTTTCTCACCAAAGGAAAAATTAAGGGCAATATGTCATTATTAATATATGGTCATGATTTAATGAACAGTGATTTGGCTCTTTCATTAGCCATAAAGACCAATAAAAAAATTGCAATCAGTGAGGAGGCAGCCGCCTTAATATGATAATCACTGTTCAACCTACCCAAGCACACACGTCCACTATGAAATAATCGAATACACTAAGGTTGCGTTTGATTAAGAATATCATTATTAAAGAAAATAATTCTTTTTTTCGGAATCACATATCTACGTTTAGTGTAAGAGCATTATTTTCAGGTATTCCCTATATTATTATATTGTGTAATATAGACAAATGGTCTTCTAACTATGGGATGATCTTTATTGAGTCCCTCAACTATTAAAAGTTATAAAATGATCTCTCGACTATAGAGCGTTGCTTTGTTGAGTCCCTCGACTATTAAAAGTTACAAAATGGTCACTCAACTATTCATTATGTTTCAAACACGTCATTTTTCGTTGAAAAAGTAATAGTTGTATGAGCTAGACGTTAACATGCTGACTGAGATATGATAGTCTTTTGAGATTATGAGATCTAATTTTATCATATCTCAGTCAGCAAGTTAACGTCCAACTCTGACGGCTATCAATTTTTTAATGGAAAATGACGAGTTTGGAATATATGAATAGTCGATTGACTATTTTGTAATTTTTAATAGTTGTAGGACTTAACAAAGCAACACCTTATAATTGGGGATCATTTTATAACTTTTAATAGTCAGAGGACTCAACAAAGAATCACCCTATAGTCAGGGGACCATTTGTGTACTTTATCCTATTATATCTTGGGTGTTTTCCGATAATGTCACTCACTTCGCCTTCTTAGATATTAGACAATTCTCTCCCTTTAGGACAAGACTAAAATAATAGAGCTAGTTCGATATGATCATTCATTTAGTACATAATTACCCGAGTATAAATCTATTTTATTTTTTTATGTTTTTATTATGATTCCAAATAATAGCAAAATATATATTGAATTACTTTTCTGTATTTTTAAAAAATTAAAATAATAAAAATAATAGAAAAAAGTATATTAAATTATCTTTGTAAAAATTGTACAAAAGAATATATAAATTAGAAATAAATAAAATTATATTTTTTTATAAACTTTTATGTAAACAATTTCATTTTAATTTTTAAAATTCAACTAGTTAATAAGAAAATAAATCTCAAGGATAATTTGATAAAATATACTTTATTCATATATTATATTTTCCAACCAAACATTGTAATATCACATTCATGTCTAGTAAACCGAACAAGTTAATATAACATTCTCATTAATATGTCAAGTAATGTTACAACCTGATAATCTTATTTTCAAAAGTAATCTTACATTTTATGAACCAAACGACACTTAATAGAAGGATAATTATTTGCAATAATAATATGTTTTATTAATTTTATATAATTTTTATTTATATAATAAAAATTTTAATTTTATATTAATACTTAATATTTAAATTTAACTTAATCTTAATTCTAAAATAATTATTAAATTTTAATTTTAATATTCACACATAATTTATAAGTTATGTATTTACCTTTTCTAAATCAATATCAAATCGGTTAAAATTAATTTTTTTAGCACAATAATCAATTTATTAGAATTAAGGCTTAATATAAAAAAATTTCTAATTATATCTCTTTCCTCATATATATGCCTAAACATTTTTTGGTCAATCCAATTATCTAATATTATAAAAAGTTATCGCTTTAAGTGTCTCTATTGTAATGGATGTTAAAAATTTTGTTAAGTGATATGTGTCGTATTTATTTTTTTAATTATTAAAAAAATTGTTTTTAAAGAAATACTCTAATTCCTCCCAGCCTTCACCGTTCATGCGTGAACGTCCAGGAATTGTATCTCCTCTGACTTGCATGGGTAACGAACGGGGTAATGAGTGGGTTTTAATTTGCAATGGGTTTTAATTTACAAAGGAGAAAATGCAGGTAATGAGCGACGGGCCGACGGCGAGCAGAGCAACGGACAAATATTTAAGGTTTAAAATGAAAGATTTTAGGAATTTAGGGATTTGGAGTCGATGACATTCGGTGGGTGAGCAGTGATCGATGGATAACTGTTCAGAGGTGGTGGTCGAAATTGGTCGACCATAAAGATTTTAAGGATTTTAAATTTTTTTTTAGATTTTAAAATTTTGTGGGGTTTTTTTTAAAACTATAATAATTTTAAGATTTTTTTTTTAAATTTTACAAACACGACATATGTTATTTAATGAAATTTTTAATGATCTTTACGGCAAGACACTTAAAATAGAAATATTTGTAATGTTAGACACTTAAATTAATAAAAAAAATTAAACACCTAAATGATAAAAAAAAATGTAATTTAAATACTCATTTTTATATTAAATCTAAAATTAAAAATATCACAAAACATTGAATTACTAAATTAACTTTTTAAAGGGGCCTACGAGATCTTCTTACCATAAAAATACAATATTAAAATTTCCTAATAGCTACTTAAAACTAATTAAATGAGAAAATAAAGTTAGGACCCGCAAGATTGCCACCCTAATCAGCTAATCTCACACGACTTTTAATATATTACTAATGGAGCTGGTAGCGATAAGTGAAATGGGCCCTACTTGTTGGATTTTATTTCACAAAAACATTCAACGATCAACATAATAAGTGGCTGATATTCTACGTCGCTCCACTTCACACGGTATCGGAGTGGATTTCCTTGGAGCTCGGCTCACTGCTGTTTTCCCATGTGACACAGCAGAGATTTTGTGGGCCAACCTATTTTTCTTGGTAAGACTTGTAAAACACACACACTTGTCGGCTCGGTCTATGAAATTAAGGTAGACTCAAAACCCAGTAATAAAAAAGACATACTTTCCATACCTACATAATGAATTGGTAAGTTTGACTGGTTTTTTCCCTCTACTTTTCAATTTAATGTTTGAAGATCGTATGTTCCCATCATTCCATGTTTTCGAAATGGTCGTTTTCTTTATGTATATACGTTTCGAAGGAAGAC